CTATTAAAGGGCTGCCGCCACTCCGCGCTTGGAAGTTGAAGGGACGAGTCCCCCTTCTCCTCCTCCTCCTCCCCCCCCCCATATTCCCACCTTTGTGGGTGAACCTGCATCCAACCGTTCCTCGCCAGCTTTGGGCTCTATTATCATCATTCTTTTTTAGCACAACAAAACGTCGCGTGTGCGCGTTCTGTTTTTGTTTGGGTCTCCGAGAGGGGGGAAAGAGGAGGAGGGGGAGTGAGAAAGCCGCGGCTGGAGAAAAGGAGCTTTCTCTCTTCCTTCTCCATTGAAGCACATAGTCCACTATGGTCTTACTCGCCTTCAGCACTGCAAGTCGGGGGGATATCGTGCATCAGTCCAGGCTCCTCTTCTTGCAAGCCTTGCTTTGGATTTTATGTGCCACCGGATGCCGAGCAGAGCAGTATTTTAATGTAGAGGTAAGGATGTGCCTGCATGTGTTTCCTTTCTTCCGGCGTTGCTGCGTGCGTAGCTTCGGTGCAAACGTGCTAATCCAAGCCCTGGCTTCCAAGAGACGGAGAAGCAAGGACTCTTCTCCTTCTCCCTGAGAGTTTCCCGTCTCCGAGCTCCTTTACTCAGCTAGGCGATCCCGTTATCCCCGGCGGCAGAGAGCCGGGATGCCGGGCGCGCTCTAAGCGCACTATTGTGCCCGGCGAGGTGGGAGTGGGAAACGGCGCGCTCATTCGGGCGCAGCCGACTTGACTGGCGGCGGCGGCGTAAGGGACCGGTAGACGTCCGTCACTGGGCTCGTCGCGATCGGAGTCCATAAAGGAATCGGGGATTTCATATTGCTGACTCTCCCTCCGACTGCCTCTTTGCAAAAAAAGAAAAGAAAAGAAAAGAGAAAAAAGAAAGAAAGACCAACGGTCGAGTGTGAACAAGCTGGAGAGGAAATTGCCATTGTTTCAGTCGAGACAGTCTCCTTTTGTCACTGCCTGTGGTGGCTAAACTTGGGCTGAAACAACCCTTTTTCTTTCCGGCAACTGCAAACTTGGAAATAGAAGAGGTGGAGTTAGCTAAAACGTGTAAAGGTAAACCAGATGCAGAGTAGATTTGTTGTGGGTGTTGTTTCCACTTCCACCCACCCCCTCCCCAAGCGGTGTTTTGCCTTCTCAGCCCTAGTCTTAAGATTTTTTGATTTGGTTGTGGTTTCTATTGGACCAGGATTTTATATTGCAAGTCTTTTCAAAAGAGAAACCCCTTAGCTCTGGAGAATGATTTCTAATGCACAATATAGGCTTCATTTGCTTTAGATTTTCATCCCTCGTTAATTTAACGTGGTGTATGTCTTCCTTCCCTGCCTTATTTTGATATTTAGCTTGCACAATTAAGTAAAAAACATTTTCACCTGATCTCCCCTGAAGTTGCATCCATTTCCAGTGGCAACTAGCTAAATTATATGTGATGGTTCTGTATTGACTCAATCCCTCTGGTTCCTACTGTTTTAAGGACATCTTTCATCTTTTCTAGCAACTGTTCTTGGCAGAGAAGTTCAAGGAGGCTTCACATCCTTCATAGCCTCTATTTCTGTCTGAGACGCACTGTGTTTCACATTTCATACCCACAATTACTTACATTTTGACCCCAAAGCACTTTAAAACCTAAGATTACTCTTTTCCATATCTGATGTCTATTCCCACCCTTATTGCTTTAGCTTTCACAACCTCATACTTTCTAAAAAAAAAAAAAAAGACAATGCAGTTACATACAATGAACTTTTTTTAACCATTTATAATCAACCCTATTTTGTAAAGTACCTATTTTGTAAAGTACGGTATATGTTGTTTCTTCAGTTCCTGATCTTCGTTATGATATTTAATGATATGTCTTGATTGTTTTGATTATATTTTCTTATAAGCTTACTGACACTGGGTTTTTTTTTTTTTTTAGAAAGTA